TTTGACATTTTAGAAACACCACACACATCCATTCTCTGTTTCTAATGGTTAAAATGAATTTCCAGAATCCAACAGAAACGTCTTATATTAGAAGCCTAATTTTTCTGTGGAGTCACCCAGATGTCAAATCTAGATGTGCTTTCGGCTTCAGTGTGATCGCGCTGAAGCGCCTGAATGAGACCAGCTGTTTTAGGTATTACGGAGCCACATTCTCCTCCCCCCTCTGCAGCCAAGGGACCAGGAGGGTTATTGAAACCCCCACCTCTGTGACTTTTCATTGTCCCACAGATCACTGCCCCTCCCAAAGGGCATTGACCCAGCATGAATGGTGTCAAGGCCACATCTGTAGTGCCACTCAGATTGTCGTCCGCAGCCACCTTTGTTTCCCTACCGAGGCAGGGGGCTCCCCACAGGAATGGTACTTACCCAGTAACCCCCCACCCCCACCCCGAGTACCAACATCTGGCCCAGGTCTTAGGACTGGATTTGTACTTTGGTTTTATTCTTACCGAGTGGACGTTATCCAATTAATATGGTGAAACTGGGGGCCTTCAATGATATTACTTTACCTCCTAATTACTCTCCCAGCCCTTCACCTGCCTCTAGGACTTTTTACTGAAATTCACTCTCTACTTTAAAAAGAATTTGGTTTAAGCTCCTTCACGTGGCCTAGGAGAGAAGCAGTGCAGTGGACCAGGTAGGAGCCCCCCTGCAGCCGGACCACCTGGGTTGAACCCCAATCCCCATCTGACAGCTGAGTAACCTTAGGCTCCTTGAGGTCTGCCTCAGTTTCTTCATCTGTCGATGGGGGCAAAAATAACATGCAGTGATTTATTGGTATTGACTTCCTGTTGAGTGGATTGAATGGGCTGATTCACATGAAGCACAGAGAGTAGTGCCTGGTGTGTGATAAGTGCCCCCAAATCCTGCCTGTTGTCATTATCTCTGCTATTGTTCATTGCCAGGTCTCTGACCTAGCCATAGCCTCCAGGCATCTTGCTCCAGCCCTGAATGTGCCATGACCTTGAGGTTTTTGAATATACTTTTCCCTCTGCCTGGACCACCCTGCCCTCCGTTCTAGTCATGTCTCTTTTCCACAGGGAGTCTGCTTATCTTTACAGATCCAGGTCAAGTGTCTCCTCTCTGATGCGTTTCTCCCTGCTGCAGGCAGGACAAGTGATTCTCTGCTGTGTTCCTATCACCCTGGGCTGTAGACTTATCACTCTGTCCGCTTTCTGGCACTCAGGGACACCTAGGTTTCCCTTGTCTCCAAATTGAGAATTTTTCCAGGGGGTCCAGGGTTCCCACTGTGTTCATCGCATGCTGCCAAGCACGCGGAAGGCATTTGGTAAATGTTTGCTGAACGAATAAATACACGGTTTTCTTTTTTGTTTTGTTTTGTTTTGTTTTGTGTGTGTGTGTTTGTTTTGTTGTTGCTGTTCACAGTGCATTACTAAATTTATAGCGAGAAAGACAAGTCTCAATCGCTTAAAAGGCTGCCTGAAGTGATTGTATCTAACCAAGTGTAGTCATTTGGCTCTGTGGGCTGGTTGTTAATAGTCATTTAAAAAGACTGTCACAGGGTAGTTACAGGGATAAGAGATCATCATTTAAATCACAGTGCTTTCAGCCCATCCATGGTGTTGGTCTACAATTTAATGATGAGGAAAATACATCTAGCAAGTAAATATTTAACTTGCTTTGGTTCATTTAGATTATAAAGAGCATAGCCCTACTCAAGCTGGCCAGAGACAGGGGGAGTTTAGGTAAAGAGTTCATACTGGAGAGAAAGAAGCCGGAGATCTTATGAGGATCCCAGGGGGACTGGCTCCCCCACCTGTGTACCTTTCACAGTTGTTTTTTAAAATTTTTTCTTAGTACATTTCTTTATTGATTTCAGAGAGGAAGAGAGCAGGAAAGAGAGAGAGAAACATCAACGATGGGAGAGAATCATTGATCAGTTGCCTCCTGCACGCCCCCTACTGGGGATTGAGCCTGCAACCCGGGTATGTGCCCTTGGCCGGAATCGAACCCAGAACCCTTCAGTCCACAGGCCAACGCTCCATCCACTGAGGCAAACCAGCTAGGGCAATCTTTCACAGTTTGTGTGTTCTCTCCCTGGTGTCTCCACTCCACCAGCCCACTTCCTTTTTGTGCTTGTGATTTCTCCTTCCTCTTGGCATTGGCACAGACACGACTTCAACAACTGGCTGGCATCACTTTTGGAACCAGGGCATAGGGCCCAGGTCGCCGAAATCATTGGCCACATGTCTTTTAAGAGTCTTCCCCAAGTTCAGTCAGCTGTGGTCCTAAGGAAGAAACAAGCTCAAAATAGGGCTGCCTAGAGAAGACATCACAAACTCCTGCAGGATGCAGGCAGGTTGTGTGATTGAAAGATGAGTCTGGGTGTGAGAGGCACAGGCCAGAGGCGAGTGTGGTCTACAAGCGCCGATTCTTGAGAATGAGGGCTTAGGGTTGAATCCCAGTCTATTTGTCAGCTGGATAATTCAGGCCAAATTACTTAATCTCAGTATGCCCCAGTTTTCTGTCTGTAGGGCAGTTACAAGAATTAAATGAGTTTGTAAAATGCTTAAAATGGTACCCAGCACATCATAAACAATGTAAGGTGTTTCTTAAGAAAATTTCACTCGTATCAGCATGCTCATCATCATTCTGTCCCACAATGAAATGAACTTCCTTTTTTAAAAAATACATGCAGCTCTCTCGGTCTGTCTAGTTTTTCCCTTTTTGTGGAGCCATAAGCACAGAGAAATAGTTTCGACAGAGCGAGAAAAATGATGAAAACAGCTGGTACTCCTCTTGATCGCCGTGTGGGTTTTAGGGTAAGCTGGGCACCACGGTGAATGGATGCTGGGGCCTGAATAAAAGGGCAGGGCCTTACCCAATGGAGCCGATTGCTGTGATGTGAGAAACAGGCCTAGGCCTCTCACATCTGTCTGTTCTTACAACCAGCTCGTATTATGTTTGACACCTTATACATCTGCAGGCTGGTACAGCCCTGGATCTAGTGACTTTTGGCCCCTGGCTGCTGCTTCAGGAAGATGGTGTGGACAGGGCTGGTCTCTCTGAAGAGGCGGCAAGTGGCTCTTCTTGTATGAAATAGAAGATTGTGCTTACAGAGGATAGGACCGTGAGGCCCCTCCCAGGGACAGCAGTGTGACCCAGGGAACTATATATTCTGATCTTCCTTGTGAGCTTCATGTATGTTTTCAAGAAAAGGCATCTGACTTTGATTTTATGTTCAAATGATTATATTTTTTAGTTCAGATATTACATCCACTGTTGTTGCAACTGCCTTTCCTAGAAGCGGCCCTTTCCTGTCCCAGGCCACCCCTCCCCTTTGGGCTCTGAGTCTTAACTTAATTCCCTCTCATCCCAACATGTATGAAACAGCTCTTTGCTGGTCACCCCACATCCGTTACTCCCCACAACCTTCCTCATCCTACCCTGGTATTCTGGTAAAAACTGAACAAGAGCAGTCAAACCCAGTTTCTCTCTCTCTCATAGTCTCACACACACATGCACACGCACACAACATCAGTGTGTCCTGTTTATTTTCTACAGAGCATGTGGAGTGGTCTTTTAAAAATATGAATTAGCACATCTCTCTGCTCCCGGTCAAAACTCTCCCATTCTCATCTGACTTAGACTTTCTCAAGCTCAAGGTCCTGGCCTTCGATGTGGCTGTAGCTCCTGGTCCCTCTGGGCCTCTCCCTGTGCCTGCCCCATGCTTTGTAGCTATAGCACCCGGCCTCTCCCTGCATCTCCTGTGCTGTCCCACCTGCTGTGCTCTCTTTGCCCCATCGGTTCCTCGTCCTGGGATGCAGTTTTCCCCAGTGGTTACTCTGCCTCCTTCCATCTGAGATCTGTCAGAGCAAGAACCTTGTTTGTCTTGTGCTTGTCACTGAGTCATCATTGCCAAATGAATGGTTGAACTGTGGGCATTTAGGGGTGGGGAATAGGGAAAATGTTAGAAAAAAATTTAATCTGTTCACCAGAGTTCACTTATTAAGAGGCAGGAGGGAAAGGAGCAAACTTGCCATGGCATGGGATTTCTTATATCACTAACCCTGCTGATTTGCCTAATGTGCGAATGATGCAGCAAGTGAGAGGGGATTGACTTGGGCTTGATGTGGCTGTGAGACCTTAGTCCTCAAAACATTCCATTTTGAGTATTCTCATTAAAGGTAATAGCAGAAAATTACCCAAAAGATTGCCCCAGTTTTTCAGTGGTGATCCCTTCTTGAGAGCTGTTAATTTGTTTAGTTAATGCTAATTTATTTCATATGCTTCTATGTTTTGTTGTTTTTTAGGTCTGTTGCCACAGTTATTGGGAGTCGCCCCAGAGAAGGCCATAAAACTCACAGTAAGTCTTTTGAGTGGATGCTTCTTATTAAAGGAGTTTGCACACACTCAGGAATCGAGTAGATAATTCGTTTGTGAAGCAGCAGTTGGCGTTGCCTCAGAGCTGCTGACTGATTTGAACATAGAGCACTCACCATGCCCAGCTCTTCATTTTTCCTCACTTCACACTGAACATCCAAACATGTGGTGATATATCTGAGCAAGACCTTTGGTGGTTGCCACCAGTGTCATCATCCTCACCATTGTAGTATTTCAGTTCCTACCATACGAGGCTCTTTGCATGTATTACCTGTTATTTTTTTCATCTCCAGGAAAGTATGACTCAGAGTTTACAGACAAGGAAAGTGCGACTCACAGGGTTTAAGTATTTACCTGTGTTCACATCAGTTATGAGTGGGGAAGCTGGAATTCAAAATCAGATGTTCCTGCCTCCAGGGCATGTGCTCATTCAGTTACACATGCTGTCTACAGGATTCATGGTTAGGCCATATTTTGTAAGCATTTGCCAAAGCCACGTGTTGAGGGCTCTGAGCTCTAGTTGAGGCTGATCCTTCATGAGGTGGTTTCTCCAGTGTCCACTCCCATCGGGCCGACGGTAGGGATTCACTGAGTGTCGTGGAACAGAGAGCTATGCATTCGCATCACCCGGGACATGAAGCCCAGAAAGTCAAGCTCCACTTTTAGATAGGGCTGTGTAGCTTTGCTACCTGGAAGTCTTCTTTTGCCATTTTATTATGTGACCTTGGGGACAGCTAATCTTTCCTGGCTCACAGCTTCCAAAAACATATGACTGATCCTTAAAATTGCTTGTAGTGCATACTATTTTGAGACTATTATACTTAATTAATTAATGCTATTGACGTTCTTTGAGAATGCTTGAGAAAATTTTTAGATACTGAATTTTGGCTAAGTTGAAAAATCTCCTGAGCCAAGTTTGTCTCAATGATGAGTGTCATTTTAGATTAAATCTTGTTAGAAGACTTGAAAGTGGTTTTTAATCAAACCCTTTAAAGCAGTTTTTAAGTTATAAGACATATGTTTTCATTTTGTCTCTATTGTTAACATGTCTCTCTTTAAAAAAAAAAAAACTTGTTTTATTGATTCCAGAGAGGAAGGGAGAGATAGAAACATCAATGATGAGAGAGAATCATTGATTGGCTGCCTCTAACACTGGGGATCGAGCCTGCAACCTGGCCATGTGTTCTGACCAGAAATCGAACCGTGGCCTCTTGGTCCATAGGTTGATGTTCAACCACTGAGCCGCGCCAGTCAGGCAATATATCTTTCTTTTTATGCTATTGTGATTGCATGAGATGTTTGAATTTAAGGCTTGTAAGCCATTGACATTTTAATTTTTTTCTCCTGGAAATAGCAGGAATATATATATATATATATACATACATACATACACATACATACATATATTTCCTTTTGAAAACTACCTATATGCTATTAAGAGCACTTTTCAAACTCTTTTTAAGATTCTTCGTTTATTTAGTTTATGGTTACTCTAATAAAATGACAGAAAACAATATTTAAAAATGTATGTTTATATGTGTTTAATGACTTTATTTTTTTCATCGGCTTCTATAAATATTTTTCTTCAAGGTGAATGATTTTGTGAGAGATAAATTCATGCACAAAGATGGTTCGGTCCCAATTGCAGCAGAAATTCTGGCCGGAGGCTGCGTAAGTACTTTTTGCAGATCTCTGCATTGAAAAGATTTGTTTTGCACACCTATCACCACCATGGTAAACCATTGTGGACTACGGCTTCTGTTCAACCACAGATCCTGTGCAAGGCAGAGTCTACTAGGGCCTCTCGGCTTTTCCTAGCAAGCCAACGTCCTGAGAAGGAAGGGTAAATGTTTCTGATCTTTTGCCTGTAAAGCCCTGCCTGTTAAATTCCTCACTGCTTGCGGGTGGTTCTGCAATAGATGTCCTTTGGGGCAGAAGTGTTTGGCCTTTGAGAAATCTTTTTTGCTAACCTTTTTAGTACATTCTTTCCTCGTGGCCCTCTCTACTGGGTCCGGCACTAACATTTGTAGTTTGAAGTCAGCGGCCATCGCTCTCTGCTTTGCTTTAGCTCCCACGTGCCGGCAGCTCTTCAGGTTCCCAGTGCCTCTGGGAGGAGGGTCCTGGGAAATAACTGGCTGAGTGCACGCTGCATCGTCAAAAACGCTTGGAATGAGTTATTTCTTTATGTGGATGAACACCCTGCATCTTGTTCTTAAGCTCAGCAAACCATGTCTTGTTTTAGCTCATGTACAGGTTTGTTCATGTGAATGTAAATACTTCGGGTAAATTAAACTCTTATACAAAGAATGGTGCTATTCCAAGATAAGGCTGGCTAAATAAATGGGCTTTGATCACCAGGGCAATGCAATAGTGGTATATTTTTTCATTTAAACCTATGTTTCTTATAAGAAAGGTGAGGTCACATTTATTTTTTTAATTAGCTCATTCTGTTCAGGCAACGGTATTCATAAAATAATCTTTTCTTGAAAGTTGTTGAGTTTAGAAGCTGGGCAAATACCTGGGAATATTACACCTTTGTTTGGAAAGGGCCTATTGTCCTGTCTAACATTGAATGGGGCTTCCTTGAATGTAGCAGGAGCTAAGAAGTCCTGGCTCCTGGTAATTCTTAAGAGATGGACAGAATCGGGCTGCGGCTGCCTCTCTGTTTGATCACTGACCTGTTGTAGACGCCCAGGTAGGAGCTCCTAGTCCGGTAACTTTAGGAGCGTTTAGAATGAAAAAGGGAGCCTTTAATGTCCTAAATAAAAAGGGTGCACACGTAATAATAATAAAAAAGAATAGCAGGAGTTGCAGAAACTGTACTTCATTTAACACAGTTTCCATTCGAGTAACTAGGTTTTCTCATTTGAAACAGGCATATCCCTAGGTTGTACTTAGCCTGTCCTGCAGGCTGTGCCAGGGGGCCCGAGTAGCAGGGCATTTCAGTAGGTCAGGTGGGTTTATTTTTTTTAAAAGTCTGGTTTTAAACCTGCTGAAAAGACATGATTATATATCTCTGTAAGAATTTAAAATGTGAAATTAATTATGTGATACTGCTCAAGATTTTGGCAATAATCTAGAGGTTTATTTTCTTTTGAATGAAAGCATTTTGCCTGCACATGGGTCTGGGTGCCAAGGAGATTGGTTGCGGCACGTAGTGTCTCCCCTAGGTGGTCTTGTTTTCTCCTACGTGTTCGCCCATTTCAAGCACAAAGCCCAGGGTGGCATCTGAAGTGGTGCCTCGTCGTTGTAAAGAGGTGCAGCCCTTCTTCAAGCCTGATCTAAACACAGGCTTAAAATTGGAGCCACTTGAGCTTTACAGCTACTTAACAGAGCTGTGAAATGAGGTTTGCCATCCTTCATCTCAAAGGCTGGTAGACAGTGGTCCTCAGTGTTTCCAGTCTCCTGTTTTGTCTCTCCCTCCACCCTCCCCCGCAACCCCCCAGGTATGGCTTTGAGAAGTAAGAGTTTATTTTGCAGGTAAGCAATCCTGTAGGTAGCAAACAATCCAGGCCCATTAGCTCTCTGAGGAGTGGGATGGATGAGTCCATTTTTATGGTGGATTTTTAATAGCAGGACATCTCTCTTTGCAGACTTGGCAATTTTCCTGATCATCCGGGCCAGCTACACACCTTAGAAAGTCCTTGGGAGCCCACAGCCTAGCCTGTCTGTCCAATTGGAAATACAAAGGGTTTTGAAAAGTTGTGTCACATGAGTGGTTCCCCTGCTTAGTTCACCCAAGCATTTCCAGGCGTTGACTTTTAAGCCCCTGGGCAGCTCACCTTGCTTCATTATTACCGAGAATTAGTACACATGGCTAACTTTTGCACTTGTAATCAAAGCCACTCATTTCTTTGAAGAAGGCCTTTTCTGTTTTATAATCTGTTTTCTGTAAAAACAGAAAATACGCAGGGAAGTCTTGGTCTCATAACCTCTCAGTGCTTAGCGAAAGTAAGAGTATACTATAAGGTTTGATTTTATATATTTTTTTTTTAGAATAACAACAAAAATGTTAGTAAATTTGGAGGAAAGGGGGATTAAATTAATCCTATGCATTCATGTTTGACATAATAATATCCTTGACTGAGTGATTAAAAAATACTCTTTTCCTTCATTGACACATGTAAAAGGGTGACTCTATTTTTAAATTCGTTTTTTGAACACTTCCAGTTTAGAACACTGAAAAATTTGACTTCAGCTTTCCGAGCATGTGTATAGATTCACACTTAGCAGTAGTGTTATATTCGACACAGTTCAGAATGAAGCTAAGATGCTGAGCCTGGGGTTTTCAGACTAAATCTGAAAAGTTCTTGTGATGTGTGTTTTTTTCCCATAGGTTGGGTTAGGCTAGAAGTTGTAGGAGTTTGGACAGAGACCTGGACGCTCAGGTGTCCCTGCATGAAATGTATACACTTCTGTTTCTCTCTGTCCTCTCTTCTGGGGTCGGGAGCTCAGCCCCTATGACGTGCTTGGCCATCATGGTCAGTGACCGCAGAGGTGCTCAGTAAATGGGGCAGAGGCGAGAGGCCTGTCACTACCACCCATTTCCCATTAGGTTCCCAGTGACTCTGAGAACTGACATAATTTCTGAGTGTTGTTGTTATTGCTGTGTTGCTGTTACTTTAAGACCATATGTCATGCCATGTGGCCTGTAGGTTACAGTCCCTAATCCCACAAAATAAGTATGAATTGACAGTTTTCTATGCATCTAGTGGAATAGCCAGTTGAAATCTTGAGGGGACTGGAATTTTTAGCTTGTGGTCCTTTGATCTTAATGTCATCAGATAACATGGGGCCATGACTGGTTTCAAGGGAGATATAAATATGCTGATCAGCTTAGTAAATGAAAACAAATGGAATAATATTCACCAGAAAAAAATGTCAAAACGTATGAACCTCTGTCTTACAAAGCTCATATTATTAAAAAGTATTCACATACCAATAAAAATAGTATTCTGTAATAGTTTTTGGAAAGATAAGTGAGCATGACTTTTGAACAATAATCTATAATCTATAATGATAAAAGTGTTTCGCCCAGTCCCACCCCATCGGCCACCTTCTAATTAATTTCCTTTCAATGTGCACGAATCCGTGCACCGGGCCTCTAGTCCTTTGATAATAGGCCCACTGTATTTTTTCATTGAGATACATGCATGTGTGTGTGTGTGTGTGTGTGTGTGTGTGTGTGTGTGTAAATATATCTAATGCTTATGGGAGTTTATAGCCATTTTAAGTGGAAAAAATAATTGATATGCTCAAGTCATTGGTGAAATTTATTCTCTCATTAGAGATTTTTAAGCACAGAAGAGCCATAAGCCTAGCTTTGTGTTTTTAAATGATATCCCACTTTCTGCAAGGAGAATGGTTTGTAGAAGGGGCAAGAGTGGGAAGCAGGGAGGCAGGTCAGAAAGAACTTGTTGAGGTCCAGATAGAAGATGCATTTCCCTGATTAGTGATGTTGAGCATCTTTTCATATACCTGTTGGCCATTTTAATGCCCTCTTTTAGGAAATGTCTATTCAAGTGCTTTGCCCATTTGTTTTGAAGTGGATTATTTTAAATCTTTGTCTTTTTTAAAATTCCAATTTGCATTCAATATTATTTTGTATCAGTTTTAGTGGACAGCATAATGGTTAAACAACCTTATGCTTTACAAAGTGTTCCCTCAATATTTCAAGTACCTGCCTGGCACCATGCATAGTTATTACAACATTATTGACTATATTCCCTATGCTGTACATTACATCCCCATGACTATTTTATAATTATCAATTTGTACCTCTTTTAAAAATATTTTTTTATTGATTTCAGAGAGGAAGGGAGAGGAAGGGAGAGATAGAAACATCAGTGAGGAGAGGGAATCACTGATTGGCTGCCTCGTTTATATACCTACTGGGGATCCAGCCTGCAACCCAGGCATGTGCCCTGACCGGGAATTGAACCATGACCTTCTGGTTCATAGGTAGACGCTCAACCACTGAGCCATGCGAGCTGGGCTAATTCCTGCTTTTGTGATCTTTCTCTTCCCAGGCTTTTCTGTGGACATGTGGCCTCACAGTGCAGTTTTCTTAAGGCAGAGTTTTTATTTCTCTGTGCAAATCTCTGTGCACATATCCTAGTTATAAATATTGAATGACATGAGGCTTACTCATTAAATTGAATTTCTATGGGGTTGCTCCTATGTAGCATGTCAAGTAGCCAAGATTTATTATGTATTATGTTGATGCTAGGGAAATAAGGTCATTTTTTAAATGCTCACATCTTTATAATTCATTTGTAGTTTAATGAAAATCTAATTGTTAGTTGTATCAAATTTTATTATTGCTATTATTTGGAATAATCTCTGGGGTGTTTTTTCTGCCTACTCTGAAGAATATAAGACCATATTGTAAGGGTTTCTTTTTGTTTCTGGGTTTGTTTTTTTTGTTGTTGTTCATCAATAGTAATTTCTATTTTAGTAGATGACTTACAGCAAGATTAAGTGAATTAAATTAAACTTGCTTTCATAAGCTTTACATTATTTACAATGCTTTTCATTCATTTTCATGTTTTTATAAACTTAAAACATACATATTTTAGTTGAGATCATATCACAGACATTTTCTGTATTTCAATATGTTATAATTATGATTTTTAATTATGAAAAGAATAATCATATTAAAGCTGTGGTAG